GCTTGACTAGGACTGTTGCCTAGGTTGCAATTTTTATTTTATTTTTTAAAAATTTTCCTACAAAATATGACAGAGGCAGCTGCTGAATCAAAGAGGTAGGGCAGCAGCATCGTCAAACAAAGTGTGTTATTATTCTTCATGAGGAAGGTTGTTTATGACCCCTTGATTTTTTTCTGTCATCCTGTTTCAGCAAGTAATGCTGGCTTGCTCAGAAACTATTTCAGTAGATCATACACATTAGCCAAGTTCTAAAATACCCCCCTGCACCATACGCTACCTAAAGTATAGTAATCCTTTAATCTGTCCACTGCATGACATCTGGGCAGTTATTTGACATAATAATTCATGTTGATTGTGCATATCAGTATGTATCAGAGGAGAGAAGCACCAAAGCAGTGGTGGAGAGATGAGGATTTAGGAAAATGCCTGTGGGGCAGTGCCTTGGATCAGGGGAGACTTACCTGCATGTAGCAGGTGAGCAACCTGCCACTGATGCGGCTGTGTAAAATCTTTTTATGAGAGTAATATTATCCTGAGATAAACACAAAACAGAATAGGAGGGGGAAGATAAACTAACAGGACCCAAGTTACAGAAGCACATTAATATTTACTCGGTATCTCTTTATACCCTCTAGTCAGCACGACAGATGTAGCTGTGTTTTAATACATTATCATTCATTGAAAAAGGCAAAAAAGAAAGCGTTTCCCTCCCTCCCATCCCCGGTAATCTCAGATATTCACCGTGCATGCCGGGGGGAGGAGGTGGAGAGCCGAGCGCTGGTGGGAGAAGAATGCAATTATCCCAAAGCCTCCTGACGGGCATCCACTTCTTCCTTCCAGCTTAGCTGCTCTGACCACAGGCTGGGGGCTCGTGGGACATGGACCAGATTGAAAAAGTAGAAGCAGACAGATGGTTATTTGTAATCATCATGTAAATGTAAATCCTATAAAAATGTTTTCTTTCTAAGGGCCTGAAAGCTGTTGTAGTGGAAAGCAGGATTAAGGCATGGATATCTAGCCTAGAATAATTTTGACCCCACCACCTTCCCTCCTACCCCATAAACGTCGCGGCTTTATCTCCCTTTAAACAAATTGCTGGAGCCTCGGTCAAGGAAATTAATTCGGTTTCCATGTAATTCCCTGAGTTTATGAGCATCAGTTTGACCAAGGCCTGGATTTGGGCCTAAGCTGGCAGGTGCTGGTAAGCAGTTGCCTTGGTAGCGGTGACTTCTTTTTTCTTCTTTCTCCCTAACTCTGGCAGGTGCGTGGCCTGCAAGTGTTTATCTCAGCGCTGCCATTGCTTAGATGTGCTTGCTTTCTGTGATTACACTTGCGGGTACCTGTGAATGGCCATACAGGACTTTGCATGCCTTAAAGGCCGTCGTGACAGCCCGCAGACATCTATCTTGTTTGAGCAGCATCAGCTTGTTCGAGCTACAAAGAGACTGATCAAACTTTAATTAACTTTTGTCTGCAGCACCATTGTAGGCTGTGTATACAATTTAGCTGTCCTTTCCAGCTCTGCTGTTCCCCCGATGCCTTTCCAGGCTGTGAGGTGTAGCCATCCGGAAGCTTTTCCCTTCTGAGGCTTTGCCTCTCAAAACGTGAGGATGTTTGCAGTGCCATCAGGCTGGCAGAGGGGAGCATCGCTGTTGCTACCACTGGGGCTGTGCAGCAGCCTCCGGGGTCCTGCTCTCCGAGGAGACCAGGTGCGCTGCTGTCCCAGCATGGGCAGGCAGGACAGGATGCTAGCAATCCTTCTCTCTGGCATCCCCTGTTAAATGTAGGGCGACACTCATGCAGGCACAAAAGCAGCTAAGTAATGTGTTGAAAATGTTGAAAACACAGGGTGAGGAAGAGGAGCTTGATGGCTTTTTGCCACTTGTGTTGAATTTTTACAACACTAGTATTTCTGCCCTGCCAAGAGGGCCCTGAGGAAGGCTGGCTTCTCAAGTGAACAAAAGCCTCTTGGCAGTGTGTGGAGAGGCTGATCTGCTCAGGCACACTAATAGTTATTTGGAAGTACCCAGCAATTGTGGATAATTGGCTGAGGAATATTCTGCAGCTCTCAACCATTTTTCTGTTTTCACAGATGATTGTGCCATTAGATATGGTGAGCGCACTAAGCTGTGCTGCAACTTTTCCACTTACTGTTCTAATAAGTGTGAACTCAGCTTCCAGTTGGTGCTCCTTTCTTCTGTGTCTTTCTGTGACACTGGAATGGGACAGCCGAGCTCACCAGCTTGTGGTCTCCTCCACATGTGCCCTTCTTCCCTGCTCCTTCTCTCTCAGGGTGATGTTTGGATGTGCTGGGATGACTGTGCTGATCAGATTGCCATCTGTGCTTTGTATCATTGTTATATTGCATTAAAAGCACTGAATCACTGGAAAGGCAACTTGTGCCCTCTGGTCTTCATCTTGTTTTTCCCTCTGCTTTTATTCTTTTTCTTCCTTTATCTGGCTTTTTGTTTTCACTCTGCCTAAACTTACAGTGTTCCCCCTCTTCCTGAGTTGTTTTCTCTCTTTAATTTATATTCCACACATTTTTCTCTTATCTTTGCCTTTCTGTCCCTGCTTTATTTTTTCCTATTTCATTTTTCTCCAGCCATTTTTTTGTTTTTCTCCAAAACACAGAATACTTTAGATGGAAATGGTGAGATATATCTATTCAAGATTCACATGTGTAGTGAGGTACAGAGCGAGATTAAGTAAACCCTGTAGCATCAATTTTGTCTTCCATTCAAGCCAGATTTGCAGTAAGACTAGGGTAAAGGAATGTGATAAAATCAATTCACCTCTTAGCCTCATATTCTGAGGCTGATTGGAACCTTACACAGTTGCTTGGATGATTCAGAGGAAGTTAATGTAATTTGCTGTGTATCACCCCAAGAAACTGTATTTGTCAGCTTCATGTAGCAGTGTGAAATGTTCAAAGAAAACACTTTCCTTAATATTGCTGCCAGGAGTTAGGAGTCAGGAGTATAAAGTCATTATGTTGTGGAATCTGCTGATTTTCTGGGGATTTTCCATGAATAGATTTGCACTGAGGTTCTATAATTGTATAAAGAAGCAAGCCAATAAAAAAATTTTTTTTTTTTTTTGCATAATAATAGTGGAAGAAGTTAATGTTTATCCATTTGCTAGTTACATGAAAGAGGGCACAGCATTGCCTAGAAGTATTTTTTCTTCCTGTGTGACATAGTGATCACAGAGACACATGAAGATGCTTTCTAAACCAGGTGATTTTCTAAGACTTTTTTTTTTTTTTTTTTTTTTTCCCTGGTTCTTTCCTTGAATTGCTGTGGTATTAGTTTTCCTGGCTTTGCAAAATGTAATGCCAAATAGACAGCAGCCCGTGATCTACAGTGTACTGCTTCTGTGTTCTGCATTGCCTTAAGTTATTTCTTCCATTTGATCTTGACAGCCTGTAAATTATGTTTCTGTCAATTTGATTATTATGAATCAGAAGTGTATGAGGGATATGTATTAATCAGAAATATTTTGGGGTTCAGTGTTTTGTTATCTGTTGGAAAAAAATCTATCAACTGGGTGTGTCATCTAAGAAGCCTACGGGTTCTTGCCAGGGCTGCATTTGCTACCGACTATGTCCTGTCACTTTTATTTTATGCTTCGAGAGCAAGACCTAAATAATCACTCTTTTTTGTGTTAGAAAAGGAATTAACTTTCAATTAATTCCCATCTTCCTCTGGGATATACCTGTATATACCAAAATTGGGAACATTAAAAGTTACCTCATATGTCATTTTGAGTGCCACATATATGCAGCCTGCTCACCTCAGCCCATTCAGAGACCAATTCTTATATGTATTAATCATATTTTCTTCTGGCTTATTATAGAACAGGAAAATATTCCATTCCAAATGTTAAAATGGGGCACATTTTATTAACATTGAAAGCAGTAAATTATCTTTGCTTATGAAATGAGACCGAGCAATTTCTGCTGAACTCTTCTTGACTTGCCCCTTCACTAGGATACAGTGTTTTCTAATTTCTCAGAGGGCCCTGGTTCCATTAAGGGCGAGAACTGTTTTAAAGCTGTAATGAAAGCCATACGTAGCTGAAATTCAAGGAGGGGAAATGCCCTAAATTCTATTTCAGTAGCTCATCTAGAGCTATTTTCAGTTTTATGTTTATAAGAATGTCAATTAACCTAGAGACTAGGACACACATGGAAGAAAAACGATGAAGTGGATATCATTTTAACACACTGAAGCCAGCTAGTTGGACCTAATCCTTCTTTATAGAAGCTTGATTTACATAAGAAGCTGGCCTGTGTTGCCTAATTTAGTTCTCAAACAGCTTGGTGATTTAAATGCTCTTTCCTTTCAATGTCATGGGACAGCACTGGTCAAAGTTGCAGCAATATTAAAACTAAAAAATAAAAGGAAAAAATAAATATACTGGAAGCACGCTACCATCAGTTTGATTTCTTTGACACCCTTTCAGAACTGATGATCACTTTGGCATGTATTTGGTGATAACAATAATAACAGTAATAATAGCAATACTCTTAATCAAGGTGTAACTCTGCAATTCAGTATCGGATGTGTCACTTCTTTACCTAGCTTATGCTGAAGTTGGAGATCCAGGCAAGCCCAATATTCAGCTTGTTGTTTTCTATTATGAAAATAACTCAACGTCAGACTTGCAATGCTACTTTTGCAAGGATGGAAAGTGACCCTATCAAGGTTAAAAAGTGTAATGATTGCTACAGGTCTTTCTAAGTTAAATGCAGAGCAGTGTTCTTATCTGGAGACAAAACAAAGGAAAAAATCCCATGTGTGTGAAATCTGCCTCCACTGGAGGTCATGCCTCACCAACTTCTTGTATGAGATATTTTATAAGATGCAAAGTCATCACCAATAATGGTTGAGACTTGTTTGTTTCATTTTATGTGTATCTGCATGTATTCCCCCTCCCCCTTACATTGTCATCACTTTAGTAATTTTTTTCCTTCTTTCCCTCATTTATTGCATTAGTGCTACGGGATGACTTCCGCCAAAACCCTACAGATGTTGTAGTGGCAGCTGGAGAGCCTGCTATATTGGAGTGCCAGCCACCTCGTGGACACCCTGAGCCTACCATCTACTGGAAGAAAGATAAAGTCCGTATTGATGACAGGGAAGAGCGCATCAGTGTGAGTACAACTTCGGTGGTTGTCTATAGACACAGGGCCTGCACTGAACCCCACAGCTGAGTGAGTGCAGTAGAACTTTACAGCTTTATAGTCTTTCCTGTAGAGACTCATCATTGCTCTTGACAGTTTGCCTCTCTGAGCTTTCCCAAATGAGAGGTGGTTTGGGTCTCCAACTTGAACTTCTTAAGGCTTGATTTTTATAACCAATGTAACAGAGGTCCATTACAGCTGTAGATTTGGTCATGTAAGGTGCTCTGTTAGATGAGGGACTCAGTGGATGTCTTTGACCAATTTGGCCTTACCTTTTCTAGATTGCAGTTCAGTGAAATGAGAATATCAGACCTTGTATCAGAGAGGTGCTTTAAAGATAAAGTCAGTCATGTCTAAGAAGTACACAAGTACTCCATGGGAAAAAACCCCAACAATTATGATTATATTGGTAATGTTGTATTTAGAGTAGTAATTGGGATGTATATTCTAAATGAAGGCTGAAGTTATACTCTAAAGAATTATTGTTCCTAAATAGGAATACATGTCGAGTAAATAAGTAACACTGGTTAGATTCTGTGACAGTCCATTCCAAGTACTGAATGAAAAAGGATCCAGCAGAAATACCTAATTTACCAAGTGATTAGAATTTATATCATAGTATGTGCAAGCAAATGGGATAAATTAAGGCTGTGGGGACATCTTTCATTTCTAATTTTTAAATGCCTAGCTTTTCACTCTTCATATTCCTTCAATAAAGTTTTATGTTGTATATAATGATATGTAACTCACTCAGTGCTGACCTTATTCAATATGGAAGTACTATCAGGAAGCTTGCTTGTTGCTTTGGATACCTAAGGAAGTATTTCAAGCTAAACAATCTAAGTAACTGCTCTTCGTGAGCCAGGTGGTCTCTGCTAGGGTCTGTTCAAGAGTAGAGGAAGGCAGAGTGGCAAGGAACTGCTTATCACTCCCTGACTCTCAAGTTTTTCTTTGGCTATATTCCTAACTTATTCAGAAGCATCCACTGTCTAACTTTTGACACCATCTGTGACTTCACAGACTGCAAATTTGTTCCTTTACTTCTTTCAACTACCCTGCTCTTTTACTTTATAAGCACCCTTTGTAGCCAGGAAAATGTTAGGTCTTATGGGAATCAGGTGAATTCTCATTTTGGGCTAGATTCAGTCTGTTTGCATCAAGGAAAAAAGAAGATCTGTCTTAATCAGTGAACAAGGAAACTGCTCAGACACCAGTAAAATGAAATGAACTAAGTAAAACTAAGTAAAATTGCCTTTCTCTTGAGAGAGATGTCGAGTGCTTTACAGATTACCATGCAAGAAATACAAGTGCACTGCATTGTCAAGGAGGCAGAAAGAAATGTAATCTTTGAAACATAAAGCATCAGATGAAAACTGAAGAAAAAACTGAAATGCAGTTAATATCAGTCAGTAGGATAAAATGTGTTCTAGAACAGCTTAAAGATATTTAAGTATATAGGATTATAGTTTTAAAGCTATACATATATTTACAAACAAAACTTTTAAATGCTGTAGATGTGGGACTTGCAGCCTGAGAAGGTAGCCATTTTCTGGTATCTTTTGTTTATCTGAATTTAAAAATATATTCCTTGCTTTGAAACAGATACGTGGTGGGAAGCTGATGATCTCCAATACAAGAAAAAGTGATGCCGGCATGTACATTTGTGTTGGAACAAATATGGTCGGGGAGCGAGACAGTGATCCGGCAGAGCTGACTGTCTTTGGTAAAGCTTTTGTTTCCTTTATCTTACAAATGTCATAGACTGAATTGACCTCAGTGGATCATCAAAATAAGAGACAAAACAAGGTTAACAAAATACAATAGTACTGCTTAAGCTGCATTTCACAGTTTCTGAAGAAGACCAGGTTTCAAAGGCTGCAATTTATAATTATGGAGCTGTGTTAGCTCAACATTTTCCTTCTAAGTGCATAGTTTCAATCTAATCAATTCCTTAGTGCTATGCATATACTCAGAGATGGTAATGCAGGACATAATGCTCTCCTTCACAAAATTGCTAAATGTAATTAAGCTACTTCTAATACAGTTGACAATGCCTGCTTAACGGAGATTTGGACCAGCATTGCTGGTTTAAATAATTCCTTATTCCTGTGGGGTTGTGAAATCAAACCTTTGTAGGAGAGCACAAAAGAGCTCAACTGATCAGTTAAAAAGTCATTGGAGAAAATCCCAAGATCAGCTTTTTGAATATATAGAGATACTTTTGTCATTTGTTTTTTAAAGGGCATGAAACAGGTTTTCATCCTGTAAGCCAGGGCATCGTTTCGATTTTTGGTGCTGCTGAATGAATCAAAAATGAATAGGTTTCCTGTGTGAAAGAGCTTCCAGACCTGATGGGCAAGGCAAGAAGTTTTTAGGAACATTTGCCCTATGGTTAGGAACTAGAGTGAGAATAGAGTAATACTGAACCTAGTGCTGAATCCATCCTGCTATCAACTGGAAGCAAAGCCGCAAAATCCTGCTGTGGTACATTCTGCAGTCATGACATTTCTATTTACCATTAGCTGTGGTTTTGCAGGAATTAGTCAAGAGGTCTTGAGCAAACAAAAGAAAATCAATAAGGAAAAAAAGGTCGCTGCTAAAGAAAATGCATACATGAATATGAAAGAGAAAGAGAAATAGTGTTAGTGTTCCGTCCTGCTACATCTCTTTGATATCCTTGGTACAATACCAAAATTCCAAACAAGATTGCTTATAATTCCAGTAAGACACTTTGTAGAAATCCTGAGGTCCTTTCTAAAGCAGATGCGCCTAATTTTTTCACCTTCTGCCTAATATGGTGCACTGGAAAACTCAGTCACACATATCACCATCTGTGTTTGCATGTATGTGCAATTCCACATTTGTTTGTCTGCTTTAAGAAAACATATTATGGGATTCACAATAGGCATAGATCCATGAGTAACTGAAGATATGCTGCTTTCCAGCATTACAAGACTGTAAAGGCTTCCACTCCACTTTGTTGTGGGTTTATGGAAGCATATGACTTTTAAAGACAGAACTAGTATACCTTGCAAAAAAACACAGGAAGGATCTCTATCAAATTATTATGTCCTTTACAGCCAGTCTGTTGAAGCTGTGCCTTTATACAGATGTAAAAGAGACATGACATATCTTCTTCATCGGTTTAAGTACTGATAATCTCTGTTAATACTCCCTGTGGATAGCAAGCAGATTGCAGTCCTAAACTACAAAGCCTTAAGAAATCCTTAAGAAAATAATTTTGTTAAAAAGCATTGAACTGTAGGAGTAAAAAGTGAAATATGCATGTAATTTCATGTCCTGCAGAGCTCTGAAAAATATTAGGTTTGTCTTGATATGTAAAATAATACATAGCCAATTACAATATTCTGATTTTTTTTTACAGGATTTAATCATAGCAATCAACTCATAAAATACAATCCAAGCCTATTTTGTGAATACTGAAAAAAATCAGCAATAAATGAAGTTAGATATTTTAATTCTTCATAATTGCATTAGACTACCTAAAGAAAAATGTATTTAAAAATCCTTTCTTATCTGAGTATCTTCCTATGTAAAAATTCCCCTTCTATCTAGGTATTCCCTTCCTATCTTCCTTTTTGCTGTACAAGAACAGCACGCAGGAAGCCGGCACTCAGGTTATGATCTGCTGTTTGACAAGACGAGTCGACTTATCCTGTGCCCATTTCCTGGCTGCCACTTGGCTTTGAAGCTTTATGTTGGTGTATTGGGCTCACTGTATAGACATGTCCAGGTTAGTCCTGGTCCACTCCATACAAAAGGACGGGGCTTGGCTTTGCCTTCCACCACCAGAACAGTTGTATCCCATTCCTGGATGCCAGGCAGCAGCTCCTGTGTGCATGGGTGTGTGCACAGTGCACTGGAGAGCATTAGCCATGATGTTTCCAAGAAGCAATGTATCTACTGGACAGTCCAATCAGTCTGTGCATACACAATAAATCCAATAAATCTAGCAACCCTGGGAAACGTCAGATTGGCTGTGTATGTTCAGATTGACTTTACTGATCACAGGCAAAACCACAGGTCATCTGTTAAGTCCACAGCCTTCCTCTAATATGACTCATAGGTGTGAGGAACATGGGAATAGTGCAAAGGCTGAAAAAAATATCATAATACTTATGTATTATTCATATGCCCAACTTTAACTGTTCTCAACATATTTGAAAATGGACTTTATAATTAAAAATAAGATATCTTAGCTAAGAGACTTAGAGAATTTAATAAAGTGGCTGGCAAGCCTAGAGCTGGTGCTGATTCTGGAAAGGAATGTGTATTAATTAGCTGATATTAATGTCTCTATTCCTTTTCCAAATAATAAGCCCCCAGACCCTTTCCATAGTGTGAAGGGGGGCTTAGTAAACACACTGCTCTGTAGGAAAAGGATCTGTTTCACACTACCTCTCAAACCTTTCCAGGAATCAGCCACTTGTTACTTTTGGCTTTACAAGTTTTTCTCTAATACCTGAAGTTAATTTCTGCATGTGACTCATGACAGATCTCTGGCTCCCTGTACAGTAAATTTAGCTTGAGGCATTGCCTCTGGAAAAACTGAGCCAGTATGGTGGCAACTGGTAGCCTGAGGGGAACAGCATGGAAGCCTAACCTACAAGATTACACCTTTCCTGAGTTTTTTTAAAAAATAAATAAATAAAATGAGCAATAAGAACCTTGGAAAGAAGTATGTGAAGAAAATTAGTTTCCCATGTGCAAAATGTATCCACTTGGCTGGGTACCCATTCAATAACCTTTGCTGAGAGATAGTTGTGAATACATGTAGAACTTTCACAAAACAAGTAATTTTTTTTTCCATCCCCATCTGCATAGAAAACCTAGTTTTCGACTTCTAGACACTGCTGAGAGCGTACTGTTAGTGTTGGTGCAGATTGCATTTCTTTTGTTCCCATATCATGTTTCTTCTACTAGCAGAAATTTGCCGAACTTTCACAGTAAAATATCATAAAGCAAACTGATTATATAAGCAGTGCTTCCCAAAATTATTCCTGTGTTTTAAATAGTGACAATGATGCGTTGCATTTTGTTAGTCTTCTCTTTCGACCACTACTGCTAGTTTTTGCCTTTATAAGGCTCCAAGGTGTAATCTTTGAGTAAAGCAAGACAAGGTCTGTCACAGAGCCTAAGCTGGCCTTTAAAGGAAGTTAATAACTAATCCATCAATCCTAATGTTCACAATAAGAGGCAGCATGGTACTTTATTATTATGGACAAACTATTCTAAAGGCCAAATTCAGAAGTTTAAGTGATACAAATTAGGCTGCTTTGCTTGTGTTTGGTCTCATAGCCTTTGGCTGAACAGAATTAAAGTAAGATGCAAAACAGAAACAGTTTCATTCCAATTTGTAAGAAAGCGTGGTTTGTAAATACATAATATGGAGCCAGAAATTAAATAAGTAAGAATTACTGCTTAAGTTAACCTTTTATCATTTTGCCATGCTGCTGCACTCTCCACAGATAAGTTTTCAAGTTGTTTTAACTATTTCAGACTCCTTTTTGTTCCTTTGGACTTAAAATGGTATGTTTGAAGAGAATGTACAAAGGTATATCTTGTATATTGATTCTGAAGTTCAGTGAAATCAATGAAAGCCTTAATATATCAACTTCAAGAGGCTGGCATCAAGCAGTGGAAAAAGATATATTTAGAAGACCCTCAAAAGAATAGAAAGCGTAACTAAGAAGAGTACAAAAATGTCTTAAAAGATATGTCAATTCAGACATATTAAAGATTGTTTTGGATTAATCTTTGATTTTAGCTTTGGTACAAGAACCTTTTTTCAGCTAATAAGGTCCTGTGGGATGAAGAGGTATTTTTGTCTGATGATTGAAGAAGTATTCGTGTTTGATGTTCTCTAGACATTGTCAGGCTGAAAGAGATACCACTCCAGAAAGAGTATACTACGATGACATGATGTTAGAGGAAAAGAACCAACAAATTCCTTAATGAAGACATTGTGACCCATTGTACTTTACTGAGTTCTGACTACGTGTAAGGCCTTAGCAGAGAGTCTTGCCCCATCGTACCCTGGAAATTACTCCCAGAGGCTTTGCCCACTTGGAAAATCTACCAAAACAGGGTATAAGTTCAGAGTTCAAGACAGAGAAATTGACAGGGTGTATTTTGTCCTTCAGAGCAAAGCTCCTCCTGTTTTTCTTCAGATCCTTGTATTTCCCACTTGCAGGGTACTTGTGACAGTTTGCAAAAAGTCAGTTTGACTTTGCAGTATTGGTTATCCACAGATACTGACAAGTTGCAATAGGATAATAATACTGGTGTGAAAAAGGGTCTGATTTGGTCTCCGAAGTCTGTAACTAATGCTCAATGAAAACTGAAATTTAACACAATTGTAGATGTATATACAAGTAGAAGACCCCTAACAACTGATAAAAATCATTCTACTTTATTTGCATGTAGCTCTTAACAGTTCTCTGTGCCTTTACTGTGCAAGCTTATCATATCTTGATATCTATGGGTATTACTTAGAGTGTAGAAGTTTGTGATGTCTACACAAGTGCTTATTTCTCAAATGAAAAATGGAAAAGTGCCTAAAAACAGGCAGTAGAAAGAAGAATGTCTCTAAATGTAAATGCAGCTTCTTTTGTAATTGTATTTTCATTTATTTGGCCAACATAGGTAAATTTAGTGTAACCTTGATATCCTGTCTTCTTCCACATCTTCATTTTTGGCAGAGTGCTTTACTTTATCCAGATCATGTTGCAGTTAATGAAATATCTACACTATTGACAGCATTCTGAAGTGAAACTTACTTACAACCATCTAACGTTTCTTTTTTTCCTTTACATCAGAATGCTAAACTGAAAAATGTTTTTACCTATTTGCTATTAAATCCCTCCCAAGCCTTTTAATTAATTTTAATAGTTCTTTCTAGACTAACACAAAAACATTTGAAAAAAATTATGTCTTCTCTTCAGCAAAGACAGAGAAAACAGTTCTAAATCAGATTGAGCCTCTACATTATGGGGACCATCAAATCCTTCACTACAGCAGTTGCCTCAGCAGAGAAAATATATTAAAGTCGTTAGGATCATTTTAATTAGATTGAAGGCCCATATACGGCTGTCTAACTTTTTGAAGAACAGAGAAAGGGCAATAATACATCTGAAGGTCATCTGAGTCTCTCTAATAGACACTGATACTCAGACCAATTGGTAAATAGAGGAAAAATTGAGTTCTGGGGTTAACTTGTGTCAGCAACCAAAGCAAGTAAGAGATTTTCCCATGTTTCTGGTTAGGATCATTTCTGCAGGTTTTCTTGCAGTGTGTATCTCAAGCACTGCAACATATTTTAGGTGTGTGTCCAGATTGCTTTAACAATCCCGTTGTATAACTGCAAGCAAAGTTTGTTCTGAAGTTATAAAGGTCATCCTAGTAATACCACGACTGGTTGACATGACATATAACCATGACCTATTTTATAGTTCTCTTCAAAGGTTTTTAATATTCATCAGAGAAAGTCTGGGAAGTGGGTACTTTATTTACTCAGTGAAAGCTTATAAAATAGCTATATTAAATTTTTTTATATATGTCTATAATTTTAATTTATTACCCTTCCTTTTTGTTTTTCAAATATATTCTGTTCTGAATGCTGTTGACAGAATAACAATGTTTAGTTGTACCACAAGGCTTTATTTATGGGCAAACCATTTAAAAAAAAAAAAACAAAAACAAACAAAAAAAAAACCAGGTTTAGCTCTGAAACTAAATTTGACCTGGCTGTGTGACTTCCTTATTTAGCATGCTTGGGCAAGCATGCTCTGTCTCCTGAGAGATTAACATTGTAAGCAAGTTATGCAGGTGACTCAAATCCAGTTAATCTCACATAAAGAATGTTAATTGCATTGGCAATGGCATTCACTCTGATCACTTTATAGCTGTATAATTAGCTATTGGACATATTCAAGGGGCTGAATGATACAAATACAGGAAATAACATGAGCGATAACTTTTTGTTTCATGATTCACACCGTGCAAAATGCAGAGATGATGGAAAAATAGAAATAGCAGTTATTGGTATTTGCATGTCCTTGCTGACTGGGATCTGTACTTACATAGCTATTTATTTTCTAGCAAATTCTTAACTGCTTTGGAAAATTTACAGTTTGAGAAGCTGATCTGAAACTAACATGTATGTATACTCCTAAATTGCCTTGATTTGGAATCAGGTGATTTACCTAATGACCTTTGGGCCATTTACTGTCTCATCATCTGAGTTCTTCTCAAAATGTGACAGGAATTTATTTTCTCATCTCCTGTACACAAGCATTAGCAATTTCATAAATATGCATATGTTTGTTTCTTATCTTTTTACAGGCATCTTTTAGACACATGGTCTAAAATAATTTTTGTATGCAGACTAAGTCAACATACAGACACATGCAGAATTCTTTAATTTAATGTGGATGAACCAGGGTCTCTAAATCACCTATGAGAATACTGATCTGGATCTAATTTTCTTGGTTTAGGATCATCTCTTGAAAAACAAATGCCAAAATACAGAGTGTACCATTTATGAGCCCAGAGCAAGTATTGGTCTGAGCCCTTCTTAGGAGAAAAGTTGTGAATGAGATACTCTTGCAAACTTACAGAAAGTTTTATTAAGATATTCCCTTCTAGATCCATGTAGCGACACGCAGGCAAAGTGCATTGCTTAACATTAATGTTAACAACTAATGCTTTTGCTGCTTTGTCCAGTTTTAATAAGTTTGCCAAACTGGAAGTCTTTATCCAAATTTTCCATGCCTGATTAGAAAACTGTTTGGGTTTTTTTATTGCCAAAATAATTCAGACTTTAAAAATGTTGAAGTTCCTGCAGTTTGAAAGTGAAAGGAGTAATTGGAGGGAAATGGGGAAGGATTTGAAGGAGAGGAATGGAGGAAGCTTTTTGTCCTGAGAAATGCAAGTCTCCCATACTGAATAACAGGGACCTAACATTTTAGGAGAAATAGCTATACTATGCCAGAGATGTAATTTTTTGCTTGTCCAATGAATTTTCACTAAAATTATGCACCTAGCTAAATAAAAATAAATCATCAATTTATATGCCAGAGACACCGGGTAGAATGCAGGTGTGAACAACATTTTCCTGCAACTGCACTGCACTCCTTTTGCTGTCACTCTCCTGGGATGATGCTTGGTTACTTCAACTGATTTTTCTTGTGTTAATATTGCCGGTGGGCTGTATTTGGATGGCGCAGAGGAAAGAAGCTCCAGTTCAAGTGTAGTTCAAACACACAGTGGAGAAGAGTCAGTTTGCTGTGAGGTATGAAGAAGGGAGAGACATGGATAGTTGGAAGGGAGACTGGACTTGTGAACTTGCTGGGTTCAAGCTGTGAAAAGCAATATTCTGGACTAGGAGGAAACAAATCAGCTGAAGAAGCAGTCAGCAGTTGGAAAGAGCTGGCACAGCCAGTGGGTGAAACACAGAGGGACTTGAGGCACTGTCACAGGCTGGCAAAGACACATAGGTGAGGTTAGGAGCAAACCCAGCTGGACGTTGGAAAGGTCAAAGGAGACCTCATGCACCGGGAAGGAAAAATCTGATGAAGCACACTCAGAACAAGGAGCAGCAGTGAAGGTTATATGTGGCTTGTACACGGATGTGAAACACGGAATAAAGACTGAGATTTCGAAGTGCAGAGAGAGACTATAACTGGATTTACTTGCCCAAACACTGCTGGAACCTGCAGGGCCTGGGCAGTACTAGGAATAGGACAAAAGCAGTGGCTTGGGAGAAACAGGGAGAAGAATCTCTGCCTGTTAGATATGGTTTTATCTCTAGCATCTGGAAAAGTGCTGTAGATTCTTGAGCATGTCTGTTCTTCTGCTGACAAAGTATGTTTTTCCCTTCCATTAGGTCCCCCTACTAGTATGAAATTCCTATCTGATGCTGTCACTCATTTACATAAATATTAACAGCTGGTTTTGTGTTCCTTATTTTCTGACTTAATATTCTGATTGGCAAAAGTGGTGAACATTTTATGGGCTGCAACTGAATTCAATGAAGGTTGAACTTTGAACATGCAAAATTAATGCTGGATTCTCAAAAAGAAAAATATTTGGCTGTTTTGTGTCTCAGGTTGAGCATCAATATTTATCAGATATTCTTTACCTTGCTTTCTTAGATCTCCATTGCACCTTGGGGAGTAGCTATGAAAATAAGTGAATTGTTTATGAAGCATTAAGATAGGCGTAATGGAGGTCATGAGGAAATTAATAATTCTGCCTTTGAAGTGAAGTTTGAGTAGTATGACAGGAGGCCACCCACTAAATGGTACAACTAAAGCAAAATATTAAACACCTGCTCATTAAATGAATACCAACAATCCAGAGATGTTTGGGGAAAAAATAATATGTGATCATATAATTGCAACCAGTCCCATAGGGCATAAACAGAAAGGGAGTGATTAAAGGGCACGCAGGCAGCCTTAGTGCTGGCACTGAGGTGCTGCGTGCTTGATTTTGAAATCTTATTAACGTTCTTTTAATGTTGGTGGGTTTTTTACTCGTTGGATATAATAAACATGGATAGACATCCCATAAACTCAGCTCTGTCGTTATCAAGACAAACTTCCTGAGTCAGAATCTGGTATTGCCTACATCAGTGTGAATTTTTAGTAATTAAGTGACATCATACCCTTCAACTTGCTAAGAGTGAAATGTGAAATGTAGTGTGTAACCCATTTTAAATGTCTTTATAATAAATCCCTATCTTGAGTGGAAATACTGCTTCATATAAATCCAGTCTTATGATAGTTTGACTCTAGCATAAATAATTTATGATAATAGAAGTGTGGTATGGCTAGGAGAGGACAGAACAAAATGTATGCAATCCAAAGGCAACTTGGAAACTAACCCCAGTGACATCCTTTCAAATGAAATTACCGGTACTTTGAGTTTGTACCAGTATAACTGAGATCAGATTGTGGCTCTGCATCTGGATTTTAAGCAGGCCTGTACAACATTATGATGATTAATAATATTTGTAGTTGTGCAGGCTAACATAACAAGAGTAAACAGAACTTATTATTCAGACCTTAATTTAGTTTTCCATGGTGAAGTTAGTGATGGGGGTCAGGGAAGCTCTGACCTCTGTACAGTAGTCCACAATTGGCAGAGATGCATAACATAGAGTTTACATTTTCCTCCAAAGCATCAAGATACTGATTATTGCCAAAGGCAGGCTATCTCCATGGGCAGGTCATATATACCACTCGAGCAGGCAGGAGCTTTTAGATCACGCTCTGTGTATGCAGCAGTGCAGATCCTAAGCGTTCAAACGGAAGAGCACAGCCTTGGAGACCTCTCTGCTGGTGTGGTGGGTGGACAGTTAGTGCAAGCACAGGCTTCCTTCTGGTGGCACTCTGCTCTTGCATGCAGGCCGGATGCGAGAGCCCCTGCCTCTCCAGCCTGGGAGTCGTCTTCCCAGCTCTTTGTGCACATCATCAGTTCCACTTGTCTGAATTTGTGGAGCTCAGCCTCCTTTCTTCATTCTGTGAATCGGTAAGCAAAAAGATGCTGAAAAGTCAAACGTGTTCATTTCAACCCTCTGACTCACTAAGGAATTTTAATGTCTCTTTCAAGAACGGCCCACGTTTCTCAGGCGACCAATTAACCAAGTGGTGCTGGAGGAGGAGGCTGTGGATTTCCGGTGCCAGGTGCAGGGGGATCCCACACCCACAGTCCGGTGGAAGAAAGATGATGCAGACTTACCGAGAGGAAGGTGAGAGCAACATTTGTGTTCCCCACACTTTGAAATTTCGGTTGTTGAGTCATGCTGGAATCATTCCCTACTACTTACAGTTTGTTATTTGACATGATGGCTGATTTATTTCCCGTATTGCTGGTCTTTGGCACTACAAAACCTGTTCCAGAGCCAGCTGAGCAGGGAAACCCAGTCTGGATTGAATTGTCCAGGTAATGGATTCCTCTGGAAGAAAAGCAATGTGTAGGTATTGTAAGCACATGGGTATTCACTGAATTTACTGGAGAAAGTAAAGGTGGTTTAGGAATTACTAATTATGTACTAGACTTCATAATAACATGCTGATATCAAAAGGAAGAAGGCTTGGCTGGAGAGTTGAAGAGGCACTCCATTCACTAGCAGGGTGAATTAGAAGCAGCACACTGTGGTGGGCTTTGCTGGCTCCTTGGCTCATGTCTGTTAAGACTTGGAGAAGCCTCCTTCAAGAGGAAACAAAAAACTAAACTAAACTAGCAGAAGTGGAAAACAAAGTTGAAATCTGGAACGGGCCTCTTGGTGTTCAACAAAGATTTGTTTAGTCTGGAACAAGCGCAGAGAAAATTCCAGAGTGAGCAAGGGGATGAGAGTCTCTCCTGTACAAAGACATTAAATTCGCTTGGCTCCTTTCAGCTAACAACAGATTTTGGTCTTTGCTTTCTGGAACTCTTTCTAGTTTTGATGGTGAATCATTATAAGATTAAAAAATCTTAATGCAGAAATAGGTCTAGGAACAGGAATGAGAACCCAGGTCTCCATAACCAAACCAATCCTTGTGGCCCTGTAAGTCCTGATGCATTTTTGCACAGTGCATTTAATTTCAACAGTAGACATGAATAGTGCCTTTTTTTCTCCCCCACCACAGCTGATTGTTCTTTTTCATCAGCGTTGCTTATTCCTGGGATGTGGCCAATGGAATTTGAGGAACGGAAAAAATAAAATCTAAAACTACTGTTCTTCAAACAGGTGCTTTAAACAGTGAATTTATGTAGGCTGGCTGCATGTGTTATTTCTACTCTTCCAATCATGATCTTAAAAAAAAAGCAGCTGCAATGGTGTTTGTGGCTAATTTGTGTCAGTGTATATTAAGTGTGCTGTGAGTGCACTACTAGACTGGGCCTAACTAAAACAAGTTAGATATTGTTGTCTGCTTGGTTTATCACAGTGTGTTTTATATCTTCATCCCAACAAGGTGAAAAATGTGGTAAGACTGTTACCTGGCAATCTTCGGTTAATATATTTTGTTTCTCAATTTGTAAGTCTTTAAGAAAATCTCAAGATTCAAATTGGAGAATACCTGTTTTAGTTTCCATATCCTCAACTTTGTAAGATGTCTTACAATTCTTCAGTTAAATATATTAATGTAATGATATATAATCTAGAAACAACATTTCTATATAAGTACAGATACATACATATATATAAAAATACTTGCATTTTAAAATTAATTTCCTTGCAATTTAAAAAAAAATATTAAATTACATATCTTTTTGCTAATTATATTGGTAGATATGTATGCATGTAATACATAAAATATTTTGAAGAGCAGACTTTTGGATAGCAGGATTAATTTTTTGTCTTTGCTTGATATATATGAATTGTAGAGTAGTTCATAGTAAATACATTGTGCTTCTGTAATTTGTTCTTACTGTTGTGCTGCTTCTATTGTTTTAAATCATGTCTACTTCTAGGCAGAAGTAGTAGATGATGAAGCAACAGTGCCCTTGATTAGGTTGCTCTTTTATTAAGGTTTTTTTAATGACTTCTTTGTTTTTCTTTTCTATCTTACTGTGAAAAACATAGTACTATGTGATTCAAGGTAATTTTTTCTGTACATTCATGATGTATTTCTAAGGAGGAAGAAATATAACAGGAAGCATAGACAGTTTTCAGTGGACTTTTAACAAAAGGAAGAGAAGGTTCATCAGATACATTCTGATCATAATCAACTTCAGGCTCATAAACTACTCACAATGTTCTGCAGTGTTTTTACACTGCTATTTAACATTTCACTTACTGTGTTTTGGCATCTTAAACCAGAAAGTGGGTGTATGTCTTCATTTATGTCTGCTTCACGGAACATCAGCGGGGTGGGTAAAGAAGGGGCCAGGTTGAAGAATCTCATGCCGGAGACCACCTTGGGTGATAGAGGACTACCACTGCCCCTGCCCATGTAGCGGGTTACCACCACGTGGATTGGGGTCATCTAGTGGAGTCCAACATCTACACTTAGAAAGCAAATACATCTGATGATCAGTAATATATGTTTTCTTTTCTAAAATGTATCATTTGTATAGCAAGGTACGTAAGCAGAGTCTTCACTGTCCAAAAAGTGGAAGTTTCCAAACCGGGCTGCATGATGCTTAATCAAGGAAGATAAATTTGGAACATCTAAAAGAAAAGCTATTTTTTTAATAGATTTTTTTAAATACAAGCAAATAAATTTGCCCAGGTATAGTCTGAATGGGTGGATGGATGAGAGAAATAAGTTTTTCCTCCTTGATGAAGTGGGAGTGGTTTTTTTTCTTTTTTGAGGCAAAACTGAAATTAACTTTCTGCTTCTGAACTGAAATTTATTTTAAGCATTTTAACATCTACAATGAAATAAGAAACCCTCAAGGAATTCCCTTTGTTATTCTTCCTACATGCATAAATCCTTCTTCTGAGCGGATCTGTGCAGCTATTTGTCTTATAGCTTTCAATATCAATTTCCTGTTTCTACAGCTAACGATGTTCTACGCACTTCTGTCTGGTTTTGTTTTTTCAATAATTTCCTTTTGGCTTCACCCCTAGATTACAAGACAATTATAGCAGGTACCTGTTTCAACAAGTACTGCAAATTTTTAAATGTGTCTATTATTAGATCAGCTTTCAAAAGTGTCTAGTTCAGTGATAGCTAAGTGGGATAAACTGAATTTTTGAGTGCATTTTGTTTCTGTAATTTGCTCCTGGTGAATGCCAGAGTTAGTGATACTGGATCCATAGTCTTTCAGAAATCTTTCTCTGTTTTTCCATCTTACTTTTAGCTTTTCCAGTGACACATGTGAAACCAAAGAGAAAATCACAGTAATTTCTGGTGACAAATATAAAGAGTATTGCTGCACCAATTGGTGTGTTGAGTAATAATTTGAAAATCATTTCAGGCTATTACAGTTTTAATTATAAAGGTCCCTGATGAACTGTAAGCATCTCCAGTTGCAATTGGATTGAATGAGGAAAAAAAAAGCAACTTCTAAAGAAATTATGATGTTTGAAAATATGACTATTAAAAAAATTTAGCCATTTTGTTGAACTGTCTATGTAATTACAGAGAAATGTATGAATGACTATGCTTTAAAACTGAGAACAGATGGACATAAATCTATTCGGAGGCTGCAAGTCTTCATTCTGAATTTTAGCTATTTTGAACTAATGATCTAAGCCAAATATGATAGTCCATATTTTGTGTTTAAAACCTTATAGTGGTTCTTAGAGTGGAAGTTTTAAAAATGCCTAGGAAAAATAGGTCTCACTAACAGTCAAAGGAAGTTAATTGTCCAACATCCTGTAGACCTGACTTGAGATTTCCAAGACTGTGGTATACTTCACGGAGCTCTTCTGTGTATGACTGGGCAGGAATTAAGAAAGTGATATGAAGGACCAGGTGGAAACAGTTCTGTGACTTATGTATACTAACCATTTTCTTCATTCTTTTATACTGTTGTGATAATTAATTAATTAATTAAATTCTTTGCACTTGAACATTCGGTTTAGAGCTTAAACCAATAGCAGCAAATTAAATTTTGCTATTAAAAATGTTGATACTGCACCAATTGGGAGAAACAAAGTGTGAGGTCTGGGATGTCTAAAGCTTTTTACCAGAAGCTGTCCATTTTGCATTGGTGACTTGAGACTGAAATGCATTGTGAATCAAGGGTAGAGGTGTATGGTGTTTGTTTTATTTTAATTGTTCTAAAACTCCATCATTACAGCATAGCTTTGACAGTACACAAGCTAGGGAATATTAATCAAGTATGACTTAAGTCAAACTACTGGAGGTGAACAGGATATTGTGGGGTCATCAGCCCTATGCCTTTGGCTGAAATATTAGATTCACTATTTCATGAGCAGGGTTTCTTTTTATTATAAAGTGATGCAAGGAAATGGCACAAAAATTGTACTAAAGCAACTCAGACAATTGTGGCCATGCATAATGATGAGAACCTGCAAATTGAATAAAAATTGTCTTTATATGTTGAAATGTGTTTTTCAGCCACATGTTCAGATAGCTTTCCCTTTGATGTCTGCTTAGCAGAAATAGAGTTTATCCTTTCCTGCGAAGGAACTGATGGTCTCCTCTGTGGTGAGGAACTCCTCAATATGGCCTGGATCAACTTGATTCATCTGCTTTATAGTCCTGATAACACGAAGAAAGTGATATTATTTGAGAGCCTCCAGTATGAGAGCGGCATATCTACGACTAGCAATTTAATAAAATTTGAATAAGGTTTGTACAGTGTTCCATGTCCTCAAATTTTCTAGTGAAGCCAAAGAGAGCAGCTGCATAGTCTGTAATTACATAGCAAGTAATACAGATTTATTTTTTTTTTTTTTAAGGAAGTGAAGAGATTTTCAATTACAAGTTAAAATTTATGACACACTTTAATAACTGTTTAAACCTTTTACACAGAAGAAGCTAGCAGTGCCAGCTCTTTGGGAGACTCACTCTCACTCACATAGCTCAGCAAATGTATTTTTCAGTTGCCTTAAAAATGACTGGGTAGCAATCACATGGGCTTTTTTTTTGCATTCCAGCCCAGAACAGCTGGTTTAGCTCAGTAAATACATCTTTAATGAAATTACAACCTGCTCTTGTAAGTTGCATTTACAGGCACTGTCTGATTAGATGAATATTGTACTAGAGAAGAAAAGTGGCAACTGTACCAGCAGGAAGAGGTATTTGTTTTACGCGCCACCCACGCAATGGGAGTGTAGGCAGAAAA